AACTCACATTATGAAATAAATGTTTTTCACCAATGCATGTTGGCCACAATTACTGGCACCCCTAGAAATTCTTATGAGTAAAATATCTCTGAAGTATATTCACATTCATATTTAATTTATTTTAGCACACCAGGGTGACTAGGAGCATTAAAATTCTCCAGCCATGACTTCCTGTTCCACGGGATTATAAATATGAGGAACACAAAGGCCAAATTGCCTTAATCATACATCACAAAGAGTAAAACCAAAGAATACAGTTCTGATGTGCAGAACAAGGTTGTTGAGCTTCACAAAATAGAAAGTGGCAGTAAGAAAATAGCTAAAGCATTGAAAATCTCCATTTCCACCTTCAGGGCAATAATTAAGAAGTTCCAATCAACTAAAGATATTGCAAATCTGCCGAGGACATGCATGTGTCTATATCGTCAATGCACGGTGAGGAGGAGAGTTTGAGTGGCTAAAGGCTCTCCGATGATTACAGCTGGAGAATTGCAGAGATTAGTTCAAACAGCCCCTACATCAGCACATGTTGTTCGGGAAGGTTTCAAGAAAAATTCTCTTCGCTCATCCAAAAACAAACTCCAGCATATTCAGTCTTCAGACACGATTGGAACTTCGAACAGGACTGGCTTCTATGGTCAGATGAAACTAAAAAAAAGAGCTTTCTGGCTGTGGCTAATGTGAAATAATGTAATGTTGAGAAAAACATTTATTTCATAATAAGATCCCCCCCCACCCCACTTACCACACTTTCCATTGTTTTACTTCAATGATAGGTTAGAATTTTTTGAATGAAAGATCAAAAGGATAAACAATGCAGATTTATTTTCATAGCCACCTTTGCTTATATTTACCAAGGGTGCCAATATTAGTGGTTGGGACTGTATATCTGAAATTTATGACTAAATATTTTTTTGAGTTCAGAATGATTAATCACATGGCATTTCTAGCTCCTTTGATTGGCTCAAAAAGTTCTGTGGTTGAGCAAAGAGTGTAGATTTCTAATTGCAAACCAAAAGATAAATTATGCAGATATATATATATATATATATATATATATATATATATAGTTTTAAACATAAACATTTTTATTTGTAAAATAGCAATAGGTAGCAAAATACAATGATGAAGGCATGGCTAAAAGTTTCCTTATTAAAAAAAAAAAACATTATATCCTAAAGCTAGGGTGTATGTTTATATTTCTTTATTGTCTTTGACGTCAGGAGCTTTATCAAATTTGCCAGACTCCAAACTGATACCACTTAATGAATCCGAAGAGCTGAGCTTACGATATTTTACAAGGGTACGTTTGGGTTTACATTAAACATACACTTTTTAATTAATTTATTTATTTTGTATTCTCACTGGCTTCAAAATAAGCATAAGCAATTCACTTCAGTCTGAGCACATACACATCTCCAAAGAAAAATTACAGTAAGGAGTAAACTCATGAATATTAATTAGGTCTGGCAGACGTTGCATTGTAACATTCCTGGCGTATCACGTAACCATACTCATGAGTAATGTCACAGCATGATTCGTAAATTCGCGCCCTACTTCTGGGAGTCGAAGATAAAGCCATACACAGTCTGGCTAATGCTTAATTTTCATGTGAATGAACAAACAAAACTCAGATATTACCTCTAAAAGCCGCAGGCTGCAGCGTGTCGACCCAATGAGGTGAGGACGGTCTGCGAAGACTTCTGCTGTTCAGTTTGACAGCAAATGTACGGTGGCCGAGAGAGCTCAACGCGCTGCAACTTAAGAAAACACATGCAAATTGAAAAAACACCAGCAAATTAAGAAAACATCTTCATCAGTTTGACAACACACGCGCTGCAAATCCTCACAGACTCTCACGACGTCCCTATTTTGCTCAGGCTTACTATTGACATACATGTATTGTCATACTTTCCTAATAATCTAAAATAACGGTACAGAACAGCATTCAATCCAATGTCAGATTTTCGCGGCATAAGAAGCTGTACAAATCTTTTTCTGAACTTCCCTCTCAGACAACTAAATTGGAAGTTGTCATCTGCTATTGGCTGCGCGCCTTTAAAAGGGGCGGGGCAACATCGCAGCATGGACTGAAGCGCGTTAAGAGCATACCTCAGTCACACACACACACACACACAAAGCACCCTTTCATACTCTCATTATCATTTTCCTGAACCAATAAATGTACCAAATGTTTCTAACACATCACTGTTTGTTAATATGGAATAAAATGACAGAATGCGTCCAGCACTTCTAACATAATAATTATAAAACAACTATTAGTTTATTTTAATTCCTCTATTTGCATTTATTACCATAGTTTTGAACATAAGTTTTTTATTTAAAAATGTATATTTTTACAATGATTTTTAATTGTTTTAGACTAAAGATCTGAGACTATGTATATATGTCTATGTATATATTTGTTAAACGTTTCCAGAACCTCGATCTCATGATGCCCATTTAAAAAAAGACAAATATGTTTAAAAGCGACCGCCGGCACATAAGCGCGTGAACCCACCCATTAATGTGCTTTCTGCTGCTTGCAATATGGTTGGATTACGTCAATAACCGCACATTTTGAAATCTTTATGTATCTGCTTGATCCTCACATTCTCCTGCAGGTCTATTGCAGCTGTTTTGCACTCGACCGTTAGGTGGCACTGTAGTTGTTTCGACCCCTTTCACTAAACTACTGTTACAGGACCTCAGTGCACTGTCCAAATTTAGTTAGATCTCCTGTGAAGTGATTTAGATTATTGGCCTGTAGACGTTTATGTATTATTCGCCAAATTCTCATATTACTCTGTTGTTTGGAAAGTTTTACATTCCAGTTTTGCTACGGAATTGATGAAAAACATGTTGTCAGGACTTCACAGTTCTCTGATCTGTCAAATGCACTGATAATAAAAGAAATGGTCAGAGGCATCTGCTGCAGGCTGGACACACACGTCTGCCCCAAGTGCATATGTGGGGTTAGACTAGATCATTCCGCATCAAGGTGCAATGCAGGAAAACGTACAGTACCACAAGTGTAGTGGATGCAGGTTTATGTATCTATTTTGAACATTTAATGAGAACATCTGTTATCCCACATCTTTTAAAGCATTGTGTCTCGTCATGGTACTAGTAGTATTTTTACTGGAGTACTCTGATTTAGCATTTCTGATCTTTGGGGTTCTGTCTTAAAAGGATAGAAGTTGAGAGGAGGAAATGATAATCGGATTTAGAGTCAAAATAGCAACAATATCATTATCAAACAATAGTAAAAAGTGTTGTGTGAATGTAAATGTTACTTTATAACAAAACATGAAAGAAAATGTTAATGACAATCATCTTTTAAATATATATATTTTTTTGCATTATGATAATTCATGAAAATAGGATCTCAGAATGGTCCCATATCTTTTTGCAAAATATAGAATAATATAATAATATGTATTATTATTATTATTATTAAAAATTACCCAGACATAAGTTTTGTAAGATTTACTTGTATATATAGGGCCATACATTTGGATTAATTTGGATCGCTGCGTATACACTACCATTCAAAAGTTTGGGATCGGTAAGATTAAAAAAATAAAAAATAAATAAATAAATAA